ATTGAGATAAAGATTAAAAGGCGTCAGGGTAAAGATTAAAGGTGTTAAGAACAAGATTAAAATATGTTGGAACAAGATTAAAAGGTATTTAGGTAAATATTAGAAATGTTGAGAACAACATCAAAAGGTGTTGGGGAGAAAATTAAAGTTGTTGAGAACAAAATTAAAACGGGTTAAGGTAAAGATTAAATGTGTTGATAACAAGATTCAAATGAGTTGAGAACAATATTAAATGACGTTAATATAAAGATTAAAAGACGTTGAAGTAAAGATTAAAGGTGCTGAGAACAACATTAAAATATGTTAAGAACAAGATTAAAATGTATTTAGGTAAATTTTATAAGTGTTGAAAACAACATCAAAAGATGTTGAGAACAAGATTAAAGTTGTTGAGAACAAAATTAAAATGCATTGAGGTAAAGATTAAAGGTGTTGATAACAAGTTTAAAAAGTGTTGAGAATAAAATTAAATGGTATGAGATAAAGATTAAAATGTATTGAGGTAAATATTAAATGTGCTGAGAACAAAATTAAAATATGCTAATAATAACATTGAAGGTGTTTAAGTAAAGATTAGAAGTGTTGAAAACAACATTAAAAGTTGTTGAATAGAAGATTAAAGTTGTTGAGAATAAAATTAAAATGGGTTGAGGTAAAGATTAAAGGTGTTGAGAACAAGATAAAAAAATGTTGATGTAAAGGTTAAAAAGTTTTAAGAAAAATATTAAAAGGTAACGAGAATAAGTTTAAAGGTGTTGAGGATAAGATTAAAAATTTATAAATCACTTTAATTGGGTTTGTTGTATAATATTTGTAAATGTTCTATTTTAGTTTTATGTCAATAAGGTTCTCTTAGATGAACATAAGTTTATCTATGTTTGAGAAAAAAAATAAAATAAAATAAAAAATCTATATATTCTATTTTAGTTTTATTTCAATAACATTTTTTAATGTTGTATTTTAACTCAACACTTTTTTAATCTTGTTCTAAACAACTTTAATCTTATTCTCAACACCTTTTAAAAATAATATTATAATACAACATTTAAAAACGTTATTAAAATAAAACTAAAATAGAAGATATTCGGTTTAATTCTGTTCAATTTTAGTTATTTATCATCTTGTGTGGTCTTTACGAAATATTTTAACGTTTTATATTTTGAATTTTAATTTTTATAATAATTTATCATTAACGCCGTTGGTTTCTCCGTTTCACTTTTAAAATTCTTTTTTAAAAAATAGATTTTAAACAATGTTATTGACACTACAACATGGATACGGGTAAATTACACCGATACCCACTTAGGTTAGGTCATATTTCACCTATATAAAAATTTTGTTTTTAACTTTCACTTATACTCCAAATTGCCTTTTGAACTCTCACACATGTGAATTGACCTATTTAACCTCACTTTTTTTAATACAGTTTAATACAAAAATTTTACAAACTAAAATGGCAGTAATGCTAATATTCCAAATCACTAATTTTCTTTTCTCTTTCATCTATCTAAAAAAAATGGGCAGCAGCCGCAGCACATCACTATCGCCTCCCCTTCCACTGTCGTTTAAGTCACTATCGCCATCACAGGTTGGTTGGAGATTCTCATCTCACCCCGGGCGAAACCAGGAAGCTTGTTTTATTGTGAAAATCATTAAGTGCAAATCACACCCTCCCTCTCCCCGTCAAAGTTCCAAAACACCTTCACCATACCACAAACGATCCGACGACCATTGACGTAATTTCCGGTGGCCGCGGCGGCAGTGACAACAATTTGCAACAATGATGACGACACACCGCACCACACCACAAAACGATCCGACAATCATCGACGCAATTTCCAGTGATGGCGGCGGCAGTGACAACAATTTGCAATAATGATGATGATTTGCGGCAGCGGCAGCCTCTAAATGGGAAAATGTATCCTCGTCGCAGCTGGGGCTACGGTGGCGTCAATTCCAATTGCGACGGTGCATATGGTGTCGCATTTGAATTCCGGTGAGGAACAAGTAATCTCGTCAAACTCGTTGCCGTCGGCGGGTATTATGCTGCGCCGAGATGAGAGTTGCGGTGCTGCGTTGAAAAGCTGCGAAAAGCTGCGATTTGTGGGTTTTGGGCAGAGTTTCCCTTCCGGCAGAGGTCCAAAGTGACCTGCGGTGTTGGATTCACAGGCGTGGATGATGGAATTGGGATGCGATGGGATGTTTGTCGGCCAGGTGTGTTCAAAAGTGGTGACCCGGCAAGGTGTAGGCAATTGTTTAGATCCGGCTGCCCTGACTTACCCAAAGGCACAGAAGGCAGCAGTGGAGCTGAAGATGCCACCGACGACGATGGAGGAAGAGGAGGAGATGACGATGCCGTCGACGGGTCAGAAAGTAAACGACACACGACCACCACATAAATATATAGTGCGCTTATATAGATATAGATATATAGTGTGTATATATGTGTTTGACTGTATTTACTAATTTTGTGTATAAATTAAGGTTTGGTGAGGGAGGGGAAAAGATTGTATTTGTGTGTGAGTGTGTATATATATGTATGTGACTGGTGGTGGTGACTGGTTTTGGAGGTGGCGGCCATGGGTCTGTAACATTCTTGGTTTTGGAGAAGATGGGAGGGGTGAGTTGGGTGAAGGGTATTTTTGTTCTAAAAAAGTTGAAACATCATTATTGTAAGTCAACAATTAGTCAACGAGGGCAACATAGTCATTTTGCATGTAAAAGTACTCTGCCACCCATGAAAAATAACATTTGGGGTGTGAATGAAATACTAAACCACTAATTCAAATATAACTGAAATTTAAAATCAAAATCTTTATCTAGCAAAGCATATGAAATATGTCATAACTTCATAGGGTCTGAGTGTAATTTACTCCATAGATACAGAAAGACCCATTTATAGCAAAGGATCCTAGTCCTGCTAATTAATGTTGATCGTTAATATTCAATTGTAATATTTTATAAACGACCACAAAAATAACATGAATCAATTATGATTTTTATTTTTTATTTTTCCTAATTATGATTTTTATTTTACAAGTGATTGTTCTTAACTTTTTTTTTTTTTATTGCAAATGGGTTAAAATCATGAAATCCCCCATACTATTAAAAATCAATTAAATAATCCCCTGCACTAACAAAACTATCTAAAACTCCATTACATTTTACAAATTCATCATATCACTCCAATCCGTTTGCCTGTAAAAAAAAAGAAACGACACAATAGCACGTGTGATATAGTTCTAAACTTACCTAAAATATGAGTCTCAACAAAAATGTGGGCTGGCTCAACACAAATTGAGATCTCAAGCAAGAATTCTAAATGAATCCTCTTTGATTATGAATACGTATATATAAATAACATTAAACATGTTCGGAAACGGGATAATGATGTAGATCAGCTGTTAAAAAATAAATAAAAAAATATTTGAGTTGTGATTTTGTTTTAAATTATATTCCAATTACCAAAATGACATCGTTCAAGCCTTAATTCCCATAACAATTTTGGTTCATTTTGTACTCACGAAGGGCATAATTGTCATTTTAAAATAACACATTCCGCTTCTAAATATTTTATAAATCATTAAGTTCAATTTTGTCAATTTTGTCATTTCACATATGAGTTAATATTTCTACCACGAAATGTAAGTAAAATAATCACTTTTGTTAGTACTGAAATTATTTGCTGGTATAGAAGGCTACGTGATCAAATTAGATAGCACATGGGGTTTTATTCCCAATATCTCAAATTGGATTGACCGCGTTAACAATTCTAATGAAATTACTTCTTTATCCTTTTATATTTATATTGTATTTTATTAAAAACATAATGTAATTTGAAAAGACAAAAATGCCCAAAAATCCCAAATACTTGTGAATCCCTGCTCCATCCGTCGCCCTCGTACCCATGCCATCATCTTCACCATCGCCGGCCCCATCAAACAGCAGCCATCGCCGAGCACAAAGCTCGTTGTATTATGCCGGAATCGCGACAGCCTTTAATATTCCGTAATTGCCCCTCGCCGTTGCAGAGCGTGAGATGTCGAAACACGTCGGACTCAAGATCTCCCCCCACGTTTTCGGCAAGCTCTACCGCTTCCGATCTGATGCCAAAGCTTAATTTTCCGAATTCTGATGAACCGAAACAGATCATAAACAAATCATTTCTACCCGCTGTTCATCCTTGCTCACGGTAAGCGCAAATTCACACTCTCGGCACAAGAACAAAATTTTTGCACTCCACAGACCATGGAACCACACTAGACGATTTTGTGTCTGGTTTGAGTTTTGAACAATCACTGGTTGAGTGCCGGAGTTAATGGAGTTTTTCGTCATCGGACTGCTAAGAAAAGCTGCCAATTTGAGATATTGGGAATATTCGAAATATATGAGAATAATTTATTAAGATGGTCATTAGCACTTTGTATTTCTTCCTTCTTGCTTCGCATTGGTATTAGCCACCACATTTGCAGTAAAAGGAGGTACAGTGGCGACAAGCAACGATGCCGGCGGCTTGACTGAACGGCGTTGAAAGCTTGGTTGTCATGCTGATGACTGCAAAAAGACAGAATTGATACGGCGCGTTACGCTTTATGTTTTGGTTTTGATGGAGGAAAAGAGAGAGGAGAGAAAAAAGATACTGGAGAGAGAATTTGAGAGGGGAGAGGATAAATAATTATGAGGGCATTTTAGACATTTTAATTTATTTACATTTCTTTGAGGGGTAGAATAGGGATTTAAAAATAAAAAATTGATGACATCATTATTTTTTGTTAATAATAGTATTTTTCGTTAATGGAAGGGAAATCTTGTTATGCGTATACAAACATCCAGATCATTGTAACTTGACTTGTAATTTGCCCTTTCGTAAATAATGTCAGTTTTAACACTGTTAAAAATTAGCAATTTACTTGTAATTAGGTTAAACCTTTGATTTACTTGTAATTAGACTTGCACCTCAGAGGAGGTTATTGTAGTTACCCATTAAATAAAGAGGCAGGTTTGAATTGAAAAGAACAAATAAATCATCTTTCTGTGATCTCTATCATCCCCAGCATCTGCTGATCAGTCACTTACAGTATCATATCACAAAAGAGAATGGCATTGCCTAAATCTAAGGAAAATTATGCAAGCAAATACTAGAAACTACACCACAGAGAAAAATCCTGCATTTTTTGCTGAAAAAGAAAAGAAAATATTACACGAATAAAAAATAAATAAATCAAGCCCAAATTGCAAGTGAAGACATCAATCCAGCCCCAAGGAACAGCATTAAATAAGACACAACTTGGAGTCTCACATTGCAGCTCATCCTTTTACTCAAGAAATCAGCTGCAATAAGGTCTACCAAAGCCATGTAGACCAGAATGCCAGCTGATATAGAATCAAAAGTGCCTTCGATAATCATCGCTCTAGGGCTATTTTGGTTATAAAATGCTGAAATGCCTGTTCCGATGGCGATTCCTGCTGGGGTTGTGATGCTGAAAAAACATGCCATAAGAGTGGCATGGAGCGTTTTGAATTGGGCCTGAGAGATGCAGCCTCCAAGTGCAAAACCTTCGAAGAACTGATGGAAGGATAATGCCCCAACCAAGGGTCTTATGGTACATGGACTTTGTGAAACTCCAAGCGAAAGCCCAATAATAACTGAGTGTGATACAATCCCAAGTTCCAAAACCTGCAAAAGCCAAAAGAAAATTCACGATGCCAACGCTTTTGCAGCTAAAGAAGATTGATACTTCACTATGCAGCACATACAGCATATCACAACAAAAAAGAAATCAACAAAGCTAACAACACAAGAGCCACTTAATCACCGTCAAAGTATTTTAAGCACTTTAAACCACCCCTGGATATGTGGTGTGGATTTGTCCAATCCTTGTATTAATCAATAATCAAACACATCAGAGATGCTAAAGATTTGTATATACTTCGTATTATATATATTTTGAAGTAATAATGTACAAAAAGGAACATAACACAGGAATTTTTGAATTGGTGGATATGCTTGCAGGGTGAGATGTTGAGCACATTCAAACCCATAACTATCCATGTAACATGGCCCAATGTCCCACAATAGTGCTTCATACGCCAAGCATATACAGATGGCTGAAACGCATCTCAAGTAACCAGTGGCTGAGCGTGTCAGCAAACCAAGGGCTAAACTTCAGCCGATTAAAATTACACCCCAGTAAAATATTTAGAGAAGTTCCACCAAGAACCAAATTTGTGGTCAACATTTTTATCCAAAATATTATTTCAATGAGATGTAACATGAAAACAAAAAACATATTATAAAGCCACCCAAACAATGACAGGTATAATGACCAAAATGCATTTCATGGTAGCATACAGACGGCAAGTTCAACTGCATATGTCACTCCATGCAAGCAGCCTTGTGTTTACAGTTCTCAATAATGAAGTAAGATGAGAAGTTGCACTGGATTATGTCAAATCCTTGCTGAAAATGTGCATATATGAGGCAGAAATCAAATTCAAATTGGTATCACTCAATTTTAGCTAAAAACGTAGATATGAAATTCAGACAAAGAATAGCCAACTGATGTTCAGCTGAACTTTGTAGAAATTCAGTTAAAATATGGTTAAGCTTGAGGAAATTAGTCAGCTAAAAGAACTAAAGATTTAGATCTTTCTTATTTAACCAAAACAACAGAAATTCCAAAAAAAAAAAAAAAAGGCCATTCAGTTCAAACTTCCAATTGACTAAGAATTCCCTGATTCAGAACCTTGAAGGTTCATGCAATCACTTTCCTTATTCATCATTAAAATTTCACACTGCATGCAAGTCTATACTCTAAACACTAAAGACAACTGCAGAGTTAACATGCCGGCCAGTTGGTAAAGCACGACCACGTTGTCCATACATTGGACCACTTGATATAATAACGCAATAACAAAATATTAAAATGCATTCATTGCACACTTTCCAATAAAAGATGTAAAAGAGACATTGGACATTCTAAAAAGCAATCGGCGACTGATTTTCACTGTATAATAAGTTTAAGAACTTATTTACCCAAATAAATGGAAACATCTTCATAAAGCATAGTAAGAGCATTAATACACCAAAGATGAAGCAAAGTTTAAATTTACCTGAGAAACAACGACATGCCGCACACCACCACCCTCCTCTTCCCCATCTCCAAATCCATGTGAGTGCCCGTGTGAATGCTCATTCAAGTGTCCATCACATGCTTCCTGCCCATGCGCATGGCTGTGTCTATGGTGCGCTGCATGCGCATGCATCCCCACAATGTGCATTCCACCTCCTTCTTCTTCCCCAAACACCTTCCCGTTCCTCTCCTTCACTTCTACTATCCCTCCTGACTCCAACAACGAGTCAACCGGGTCAACCCGTCCTACCTTACTTGCCCTCTGCTTCTCCTGTTTTCTCTCATAGTACTGAGTCCCAACGAAGTCAGCAAGCAACGTCAGGAGGGCTGCAATCATTGCAAAGAACCCAGCAAATGGGAATTTCAACCAAGGGTTTGTCGGGAGACACGGGTCAGTTAAAGCTGTAGTGGCATCCGGTAACATGTGGACGAAGCCGGTGGCAAGGATCACACCGGCAGCAAAGGCCTTGGCTGCAAAGAAGAGGTTGGAATCTGTATGGAGAAAGCTACGCCTCTTGCCAACAAGAGGTATGCTGACACCGACTACTCCGGCAGTGAGGATGGTCACAATTGCCACCATTTTAAGGGTAAAAGCGGCCGATTCATCTCGGCAGGATTCTAACCCAGCATCACCACTGCGGCAGCTGGTGTTGGACATAGATTCAGAAAGTTTCTGCAAAACGGAGTCTTTATTGAGCCCCCCAAAAAAGATAACTCAAATTAGAAACATTAGAAAACATACAAATTGTTGTGAATCATGCAAATATCCGGAAGCTAAGACCCTGAACGAAAGAGGGATATATACGAAAAAAGGATTGTGAAAATCGAATTCTGAAAAATCTCCCAACAACAATTAAGATATGTTTGGTACAGTGGAATTAGTGGTTTGGAATCAAAATTTGAGGAATATCACTTTTAAAGTACGAACCAGTTTTTCTCCAAATCCAATTCCCAATGTACTAATTCCGTGCTTCCAAGCGCAATGTCACTAACAAATTACTAAAAACGGAAATTCAGTTGTCATTTACTCTAGGTCCAGAGGAGATGCAGCAAAGGAGATTTTTTCTTTCTTTTTTGAGTAACAAAAGAATAAATCCAAATTTTTGTGAAATTCCGATATAGAACAATCAATTTAAGTGAGTTTTTATTCTAGAATGCAAAACTCTTTCTGCCTCAGTTGTTTGATTGCTGGGAAAATGTAGGAAAAGAATAGGACTTCCTCGTAAGGCGGATTGCTTACTCAAACAAAAGTAACCAAAAGATAAAATTAAAACCCCAACAAAACAGCCAATTCAAAAGAAAAAACATAAAAAAATGATCAGTTCAACATGTTTGCTAACAAGAATGCAGAAAAATAAATCATAAAAATAAATTGAAATTAAGAATCTTATGTTGATGATTATTGGAAACATCAGAAAACAAACTTTTGTTTCAGTCAATTAAACCTTATACATCGATTTCGGCTTAAACTTCAGTAAAATTGTCATCAATTGAAAACCTAAAACAACCCGGAATCAAAAATTCAAAGTTCGAATTTGGTTTCATTATCGTAGTTCTCTCGAGAATCAACAAAGTGGGGATTTTAATTTACCTGAGAAAAGTCGAGTCTTTTCTCTAACTCCGTCGAGGTACAGCAACGGCAAGAGATCCTGAGAAAGAAATGATCGTTACACAAAAATTCTAGAGAAAGAGAGAAAAATTTCTTTAGAGAGAAAAATGGGAGACGATGATGATAATTCTAGCGAACCTCGATGAACAACATGGGTGAGGATTATTGGGTTCTGGGCTTTTGCTGGTTGGTGACACGATTCTCTATACAGAAGTAAACTGAGTACGAGATTGATCGATTCTACAGAGAGGACGATTTGGGATTGAAATTGTGCTCTTCTTATCCTGTGCACAGCAGACGTCCTCTGGGTTTCGTGCGCTGTAGAGAGAGAAAGTTAGGAGAGAGAAAGGGTGAAAAAATGTCAACATATCTGAAAGCGTGAAGGGCATCGGTGGGAGGATCAGAGACTTTTGGTAGAAGAATGAGCGTGAAAGTGTCGACACCTCTCTGTAATTCTCTGTCTCTCTCTAAATATATAGTCCGCATTATACTACTTAAATTATTATTATTATTATTTATTTTTAGAGCAGTGTACACACATAACCCACATTATTTAAGTCAAATGCGTATATTTTATCATTTTTATTTATTTTCTATCACTGTTTATTTTATTTTTTTTGGGTAAGGTTTATTTGGTTTGTTTATAAATAATAAAATGTTTATTTATTATCCCACGCCCGAGAGATGTGGACACTTCGGTCGTAACAAAATAAAATGAAGGGTAAAGTACAATTACACCCTTCAAAGTTTGGTAAAAAAATTTTCAGATAAAATTTATTTATTTTTTGTACAAAGACACTTCCTAAAAGTTCAAAAATGAACAAAGATACCACTTTATATAAAAAATTGACCAAATTACCCTTTGACCGTTTAAGAAATTTTTTTAACTTTACAATTTAATAAATTGGACCAATCTACCCTCATGAACAATTTATGTATATATAAAAAAAAAATGTAACGAAAAAAAATAAAAACTTTATATTGTTCACTTTTTTTTTTTTGTTATTTATTTTATAAATGTCCCAACTTCTTAAAACTGTAGACGTCTAAAATGATTTTTTGATCCAATACATATATTTCAAATAAATTATATTTTGTTATTACTTCTTTTCTTTTTCTTTTTTATTTTTAAATTAAGATGCTTAATTCTTTCATCTAAAAAAATTAAACCAATCTTTTTCCTTAAAAATAAAAAATATGGTACCAATATAACTTTATGCATTTTAAATTATATATCAAATATTATGCAATTTCCAACATAAAAGGGAAAAAAAATAATAATAAAACAAAGGAAAAAAAAAAAAGGCATGCATAAAGTTATATTGGTACCTATTTGTTTTTATATTGGGAAATGTATAATATTTGATATATAATTTAAGATGCATAAAGTTATACTTATACCATATTTTTTTTTCAAGGAAAAGAGATTGATTTAATTTTTTTAGATGAAAGAATTAAGCATTTTAATTTAAAAATAAAAAAGAAAAAGAAAAGAAATAATAACAAAATATAATTTATTTGAAATATATGTATTGAATCAAAAAATCATTTTAGACGTCTATATTTTTAAGAAGTTGGGACATATATAAAATAAATAAATAAAAAAGTGAACAATATAAAGTTTTTTTTTTTACTTTTTTTTTATGCATAAATTATTCACGAGGGTAGATTGGTCCAATTTATTAAATTGTAAAGTTAAAAAATCTCTTAAACGGTCAAAGAGTAATTTGGTTAATTTTTCATGTAGAGGGGTGTTTTTGTCCATTTTTGAACTTTCAGGGGGTGTCTTTGTCCAAAAAAGAGGTAAGTTTCATCTGAGTATCCTTTTGTCAAACTCCAAGAGGTGTGGCTGTACTTTACCCTAAAATAAAAATAAAAGGACTTGAAATAATGTGAATATTCGTGTTAATTGGATCTTAGGCTACATTTGGATGGAATGATTTTGAGCAATTTTGAGCCATTTGGAAAGTAAAGAAAATATATGTATATATATATATATAGTATAAAGTATGATTTAGTTGTCTTAATTGAAGAGAAAAGAAAAAATTAAAATAGTATTTTTCCAAATCTCATTTGTTTCACTTGGGTCCATCATATAAAATGATATGATAATAATTTATTGCTATTATTTTCATAAATAGTGATTATTGTTAACTTTACTTTTCTTTCAGGTTTGAGACTGAAAATAAATTTCTATAATTTGAGTTTATATGATAATAATTTAATATTATTATTTTCATAAATAGATATTAGTGTTAAAATTTGACACTTTAAAATTTATCAAAATATTAACTAACTAAACTATCATATTGATCCACGGTACAATATATATATATATATATATATATATATATAGCACTTCTAACCAACAAGTCTGAAAGGCACGAACATATGCTATGCTGTGAATCATGTTCTTTGGTAGATACCATTAGGCCCACCACAACTGCCATGAGAGGTTCTTATGACATGTGCAGCTTTTAAATACACATACTTTTGTGGCTCATAGATGCACTATTCCGGAGGATTTAGGATTACTTTCAAAGTTTTAATGGGCTATTGAGAAAAAAGTCCATGCGCTGCTTAATCAGTGTATTTATTTATATCTACATAAACACATATAAATCGTATACGCATTTTTATCATCACCAAGTGCATGTGAGTTTAACCAAAAATTCAGCAATCTCAACCTCCCATTTGAGATGAGTTGAAGTCACCAATATAAGATGATAGACAAGTGAAACACTTCTTCTGCCGCGGGGAGGGGGTTGGGTCTGCACTTGACAGATTCTTTCAATTTTGACCCTTTTCAGTCTTCGCTACCAGGATTGTCATGTTGATGGTGCGGGACGACTCCTACTTCAAAAACTATTTAACTTTCAGTTCTCATGACGACGGTCATGTCTTAGCTTTTGCTTAGGTTTCTCTAGAATCGTCTTGTCTGTTCTTCCTTTGTGGTTCTTTTGATGTTATGTTTGTTTGCCCAATGATTGGTTGTTCATGTAATAGCCTTGGCTTTTCTTGTCAGGCAAAAAAAAAAAAACAGGGTGAAAGTGAAACATTTCAATGGAAGTGTTGGGCCAAAAGCATCCCAACCATGTTTACACATTTTAACTCATCATATGATTACATTTAATAATTTTAAAATATCTAAAGGAAATAGTAAGTTTTAAGCTATATCTATCTAAGTGTCTCCACCTAAATTAATTTTTTGCAATTAAAATGATATTTAGAGTTTTTGGGAGGAAAATATGATAACACCAAGGGGTAAACCCTTCCATACGAACGTATGGTATGGTAAGAAATGGATGATTATATCATGGGCTTATATCTCGGCCTAAAATCTACCAAAAAATTGATTTAGCTCGCCACTCTGGTCTAATTCTAAAACGTCCAAATGTGTGACAAAATTTAACCAAACTATGTGTCATATGATATTATAACAATAATATGATTTCATATCATAAATCAATAATTGATGATATTATAAATAATATAATGAAACACAAAAGTTTTAAATTATTTTTATATTTTGGGTTTTTTTGAATATTTTTTAGTCTTTCGAATTACTAAATTTTTTGTCTAAATCTTTTTCAAAATAATTTCACGTTCTAGAGTTTAAATCCAGTCACATCCAATAATTTCAAGTACCTTAGAAATCTAGTTACTCGTATTAATCCTACCCTTAGCTCGGACCTGCGACTCACCTGCACTTTTACTCATGGTCAATCTCATTGTGAACATAACTTGTGATGGTATTTTAAGAAAGATTCATATCGAAATCATTTTTTAAATTCAGATTCAAATTTATACTTCTAACTTACAAATCCATAAAAAATAAATTTAAAGTTAGGCCCGACATAGGCCAAATCCGTCTAAGCTTTATGAGGTAGCAACTACCAATCAGAGCCTCCAACACAACCATAATGCTATTTTTGAAAACAACATTTCAATCAAGTGCAATACAAACTTGTCTTTCAAAAATCAACTTGATTTTGACATTTTTTTTTGTGTTAGATTCGATTTTTTCGGATTATGCTCAAATTGTTTGAATTTGTTGTTTAGCTAGGCTTAGACTGTAATTGACAAATCCAAATTGCACACTTGCACTCTTATACTTGGGGCTTGTTTAGCAATTGATATCGTTTTCATATTTTTATTGTTAAATTGGTGAAAAATATAGACAAATGATAAAAGCACATTCTAGCATTTGTTACGTTTTACATTGTACAATATTTAAAAATAATTAAAAAAAGAATAAAATTCAAAATCCAAAAGCAAAACTAAGAAAATTTATTTTCACATGTTTTGCTACAATAGTATTTAACTAAACAATTGTATATTGTAAATATCATATTATCTGAAACATTTATTTATTTATTTATTTTTAACAATAGAACAAAAGTCTATGATCCAAAAGTGTGTTGGTTACGCATGACGAAATTTTTGATCATTTTTTTGAGAAAGTGTCTAAAGTCAGCTCTTTGAATCACTTTTTGGACTGAAAAAAACAATGAAAGAAAGAAGAAAAAAGAAAAGAAAAAGAAACCACTTTTGGATGCCAATGTGAACTATGTGGTCATTCTTAGAACATAAAGTGCAAAATAATTTCCATAAATTAAATGGTTTGAAGGAATGGTTTCACTTTAAATTGGACCCATATGAAAGAAAGACTACTAAAAAAGGCAAATGAAAGTGCTCAATTTGATATTACGATCAATACTGAATGGTATCATGTTTGTAATTAATTACACACACACACACCTTATTTTCAATGTAGTTCGAATTTCGACCCCTTCTCTGAAAGGGGTGATATTACTGGACCATTTGCTCCTTTGATATATTTGTACCATTTGATTCTATTGTACTAAATGTTTAGCAATTTGATTTGAATTTTTTACTTTTAACTTATTCACCTTAAAGATTAAAATAATTCAAATCAATCTGTAATATTTGTCTATGTTGCATCAATTATTAAATTGAATAAAGGTCAATAATATTTTTACTTTTTATACTCAAATTTCAATGCATATAATATACTCATTATTCTATACTCCATTTTTAATAATTAATCAATTCATACTCCATTTTTTTTTTTTTTTTTTAATCAATCCATATGTCCATTTCCATTTCCATTTCCATTTCCATATATATTTTTTAAATAATAAATCACATACTTTTGATAATTTTTTACTTTGGAAATACGGTAATTTTTTTTTTTTTTTTTTTCTTTTCTTTTCTCAGTAATCCACTGCTTGAGAAGTCTTAGTAGGATATTCATTATAGGCTAGGCCCAATAAAACCCAATGTGAGATTTAGGGCTTTGGTGGGCTGCTTACAGAAACAAGTTGGGCTGGTTTTCCACTCTCAAGACTGTGGTTTAAGAATCTAATGAGCTTCAAGCCGAATTCTGCCTATACTTTAAGTGGGACTGCAAAAAGCCTTCAAGTTGGGCTA